CAGAAATACTGGAGACGTCTCACTTGACTCGGAGCATCTGGAAGAAGACCTTAAATACATACATACAGATAAGAAGCTCTGGTGGCCTGGTGTCTAAGGCATTATTTGACTCCTAGCCAGAAGGTTGGCGGTTCAAACCCACCAGCCACTCCTCAGAAAGGTGACTGGGCAATCTACTTCTGTAGAGATACCACCTCGGATACCCGAGGAGGAGTCCATATGAGTCGAAATCAACCCGAGGGCAGCTGAGTTTTGAATTTTATACATATTGGTAGATAGATCAATGTCATTCCCATTCACTGACCTTGTCTACCCCGATTCCCTATCATATGATCAACTGCTGTCACACATCTTCTTTACACCTTTCAGCCAGTCACCACTGCCCCTTCATTTCCTGACTCCTGTGTTACTGTGTTGTAGCCTCCATTCACTCTTTCATATTATAGTACCACCCCATCTTCAGCCTCACTGCATGGCCATTCCTGGAACCCTTAATGACCCCTGTGTGTCCATTATAACCATGAAGCTGGCCGTGGTCCCAGTTTCTCTCATTATCCCTATACCCTCATTCCTGTTCTAGTTCCCTGCCTTGACCCTCCATGCCATTCTCATCCCCTGCATCTCTAGTGTCCCCTTTATAGGCTCCATTGTCCTGTGGTCAAAAGAACCCTCCTTCCCTACCACCAGTCCCTTTACACCCTCCATCTCCTTCTGTCCCTGGGCTCCATTACTCTCATCTTTTGATAACATCCTGGCCCTATTATGTCTCCTCATTACCCATACTCACTCATATCTCTTTTCTTCCCATTTCCTCCTTCAGTTCCTGCTACTTCTTCATTTTTTTCTTTATTTGTTTTGGGTATTTCTTCCTTTTCTCCCCAACTAGACATTTTGGTTTATTCCATTCTTCTTCATTCTCCATACATAAGCCCTCAATAACAATTCCATGAGATAATTACCTTCCAATCTGTCTTTGCTTCCATTATCTTCTCTCATTTCTTCCTTTCTCCTATTTTTCTTCTCAGTTGACCTCAACCAAATTTTCCTGCCCTCTGCTTTCACAATTATCCATTTCCACTCTGGCTTCTTCTTTCATTGCAGCTAAACTTCCCATTTTTCCTTTCTTTCTTCCCACTAGTTGCTATTCTCAACGCCTAGAACAGTGCCTGGTACATGTTGTTGTTGTTGTTGTTAAGTGCCGTCGAGTCGTTTCCGACTCGTAGCGACACCATGCACAGCAGAACGAAACACTACCCGATCCTGCGCCAGCCCCACAATCCCTGCTATACTTGAGCCCATCATTGCAGCCACCGTGTCAATCCATCTCATTGAAGGCCTCCCCTCTTTCGTCGACCCTCCACCCTACCAAGCATGACATCCTTCTCCAGGGAATGGTCCCTTCTTACAACATGACCAAAATAGGTGAGATGAAGTCTGGCCATTCTTGCTTCCAAGGAGCATTCTGGCTGTACTTCCTCCAGGACAGATCTGTTAGTTCTTTTAGCAGTCCACGGTACTTTCAGCATTCTCCGCCAGCACCACAACTGGTACATAGAATACACTTAATAAATAGGAGTTCAAGGAAGGGCATCACATTTCCTCTCTAATCAGTTGATGATTTTGTGCCTTTGTTGGTGTAATTTTGCTTTTGAAACAGATGTCATTATGGGCTGTAATGGTTTAGATACCAACTATATATCAGTTACAGCTAAGAGATTATATTTGTTTTCCTTTTAATAGTAGTATATGTTTAATAAGGAGCTCTGGTGGTGTTGTGGTTAAAGTATTGGGCTGCTAACCAAAAGGTCGGTGGTTTGAACCCACCAGCTGCTCTGCAGGAGAAGCTGAGGCAGCCTGCTCCTGTAAAGATTTACAGCCTTGGAAACCTGTGGGGAAGTTCTACTCTGTCTTATAGGGTCATTATGAGTCAGCATCAACTGGGTTGTGGGTTTAAGTATTTAATAACAATGTGAAAAAAAATCTTTTGTTTGTAAATTTTCTTTAAAATTTTCTTTTTTGGATATTTTTCCATTCCTATGAGGTGTGTGGAATATCCTGTATAACAGTGTGATTCCTGAGTTCTCATTCCTGTGATAAGTGCCAAGTAAACAGGGTAGACCTGGCCTACAAACAAATCTAGGTGTTGACATTAATACCATTTACAGGGATGGAATTGAGAACATTGCCGTAATAAATTTTTTTTGTGTAGCATAGTGCCTAAGGCATATGACTGCTAACCTTGGAAGGAAGATGGGGCAATCTACTCCTGTAGTGATATAGCCTCAGAAACCCAAGGAGGGGTAGCTGTGAGTTGGTTCCAAGTTGATGGCAGTGAGTTTGGTTTTGGTTTTGGTCATGTTTAGCATCAACAAGAGGAAAGCACAGAGCAGCAGCAGTGGCGTATTCCCTTAACATGATATTTGTTCCATTGTGGAATGGCTACACTGCAGTGATCTGCTTTAAGTCAGGAAGAAAGCTTCTGTTGAGTTCAAAATTAGTACTAACACTGTTATACGAAATGTTATAGATACACTTATGACTCCACATCTATTTTGGAGGTCATCTCCAAAGACTGCATTTTGTTTTCATCTCATCTTTAGAGATTTAATTAACAGCACAAGTGTTTCTGAAAACCTAAAATATGTAGACTTGTCAAAGTAGAAGTTAAACTAGACTACTTACCCAAAATCTTCAGAGAGAATTGGATTTTTACTCTGTTATTGGAGATTGTCTCAGCTGTTGTCTTTGGTTAGCAATAGAGTTTTGATGTCAAAGTCCTTTGTGTGTGTGTGTAGAATATCAAAGCATGATATTAAAACATAAGTAAGACCTTACAAATCCTATCAGTCCTTTGCTTAGAAATCTTGAGTGGTTGTCTGTGGCCTTCAGAATAATGTGCTACATGTTCTGTAGAATGCCATTCGTGGCCTTCACAATCTGTCCCTTATTCCCTGTGGTTTTAGCCAACTTGAGCTTCTTAACCAATCTCATATGCTGCATACTTGCTTGACCCTGACTCTTTGCTTAAGCTTCGCCCTCTGCTGGGGCCCTTTCTCCCCATATCTACCCGCGAAAATCCATTCTTCTTTCTGGGCTTGCTCAAATGCCACCTCCATTATGGAATTTGCTTTAATTCTTGTTATTGAGAGTAATTCCCTCTTCCTATGGATTTACATAAAACTTTGAATTCATTTATGTTGTCGTTGTTAGGTGCTGTCAAGTCAGTTTTGACTCATAGCAACCATATGTACAACAAAATGAAGTGTTGCCCGGTTGGTCCTGTACCAACCTCACAATCATTGCTATGTTTGACTCCATTGTTGCAGCCACTGTGCCAATCCATCTCTTTGAGAGTCTCCTTCTTTTTTTCTGACCCTCTGCTTTACCAACCATGATGTCCTTCTCCATGGCCTGGTCCTTCTTGATAACATGCCCAAAGTACATGACACAAAGTCTCACCACCCTTGCTTCCAAGGAGCACTCCAGCTGTACTTCTTCCAAGATAAACTTGTTTGTTCTTCTGGCAGTGCATGGTTTATTCAGTATTCTTGCCCAACACCCTAATTCAAATGCGTCAATTCTTCTTTGGTCTTCCTTATTCATCATCCAGCTTTCACATGCATATGAAGTGATCGTAAATACCATGGCTTGGATCAGGCACATCTTAGTCCTCAAAGTGACATCTTTTGTTTACGGCAGATATTTAATCCAACACTTCCATTATCTGCATACTACTCCATCAACTCCTGAAGTGTAAGTTTCCTATGGGAGGACTGCTTTTTCCTTACCGTGGCATCATCACAGGCATCATCACAGGACTTATATATGTTCCATAAATGTTTGCTGAATGAATGAATATATTAACTGTACCAATTCTTCTTATTATTGTGCTGTATCTAACAAGAAATAGGGAAATAAGAATTCCTATGTAACTGTGTGATTCCTGAGTTCTCATCTAAGTCATGGCTAGACTTGCTTTAACTATGTATGTACGTCTGGCCTTTTATTTAAAAATACTTTTTGCCCAGCTAAATCATGGAAAATAGTCCCTGGGCAGCACCAACAGTTAGCACTCAGTGACTAACCCCCAGGTTGGTGGTTTGAATCCCCCAAGAGGTGCCTTGAAGGAAAGGCCAGGCAATCTACCTCTCAGAGACCATGGCCATTGAAGACATAATGTAGCACAGTTCCACTCAGAAACACATGGAGTCTCTATGAGGTGGTATCAACTTTATAAAACAAAAATCAAAATTTTTTTTAAATTATGGAAAACAAATTTGGAAAAGGTCATGGGCATTGTACAAGGAGTATTTTAATATATTTGTGGGGATGACCTGGCCTAATTTTTCTAAGGGATAAAAATGATGGAATCTCTGTTAGGAGAACCTTCTGGTGGGTTTCACTATGTGTTCATGATTTCGTGATACTCATGCCAAAATTTCCCTGGGTCTGGCTTCAACATGTCATGGCTCCCTTCTGCAGTCGTGGGGGCAGTAAGAAGCAGGATGCAATGACAAGAGATTACGGCTTGGAATAACCAGGACGGCTGTCATTCATTGACTACTGGCCAGGTCCTTACATGAGTTATAAAAACCAAACCAAACTCACTGCCAGTGAGTTGGATCCCCTCCTTGGGTTTCTGAAGCGGTATCACTGTGGAAGTAGATTGCCCAATCTTCCTTCCGAGGAGTGGCTGGTGGGTTTGAAATGCCAGCCTTCTGGTTAGCAGTCAAATGCCTTAGGCACTACGCCACCAGAGCTCCTTAACATGAGTTATCCCATTGAATATAATCCTTAATATAATATAATCCATGAGGTGGGCAATGTTTTTATCACAATGGTATTCATTATTAATGTATCAGTCAATGTAAAAGGAGCCTTCCCCCAGCCCCAGTCTTAATTTCTTCTAATCTCTCATTCATGGCATAATCATGGTGATACTTTGCTAGTAATGGTATAAATGTCAGAATGCACATTCCCATCTTTGCTCTCTTGTACAGGAAAAAAATGAAAAGCTAGTGCTGGAAGAAACTGCATTTGAAGAAATCGAAAGGGATTTTCAGGAGGTTCTCAATGAACTTTCCGGAGACAAAAGTCTGGAGAAATTTAGGATTGAATATGAAAAACTTCATGCTGTCATGAGAAGGTCTTATGACAATGAGAGGCGTTTGATGGCCAAATGCCGAGAGCTAAATGCAGAGATCGTGGTCAATTCTGCGAAGGTTGCCACTGCCCTGAAGCTCTCTCAGGATGATCAGACCACCATTGCGTCCCTGAAGAAGGTCAGTGATGGTCCGGAAATGAAGCTGAAAGAGAGCAGCCGTAACTGGATCTTGGGTTTAAAATTTTTCATTGTACTTTCATTCTATTGGCAGCTCTAGGCTGGTGGTAAACGAGTTACTAAGGAAAAATTTACATGATTTATATATTCATTAAGCCTAGGGACTCATGTTCATCTCCAAAGAAAATAATTAACCTGAGTGAATTTCAACTTGCAGAAAATAATGTAGAACCTTACTGCTTGGTTTCTGGGAAATAATAGGTTAGAAAAATGAATTAAAGATAAGTAAATGCCATATTAGAGATCTCAGGATGTTTTGTTTGATGTAAGATGAGTAATTAAATATCGTATGTATGATAATAGCTTGTTAAAGATAGCTTCACAATTTCTACATTTTCTAACAATTGAGGAGAGATTAATTTGAGAATTCCCAGATAGTAATTTTCATGCTATTTCTTCCTTCGTCTTGACCTTGATCCTTCTAATTCCTCCTACTGGGAGAACAGGGGTTCAGTCTGGGGGGTAATGAGGAAGCCTGACTTTGTGTTACAGTTATTTTTCCATCCTCAAATATGTTGTATTATTTTGAAAGTAAAGATGATAAACATGTCCCTTGTTGTATCAAGGTGACAAGAGGTTGAGAACATTTTAATTTACAATTAAAACCTTAGTTACAAGAGGTGATTGGTATCATTTTAGATCATTCCCTTGATATCAGGCAATTTGATGTCACCGATTCAAATGAATTTCCAAGACCAGGACAAAATATAGCTTACCTGTTATTGTAGGAACTGCTTTATTTTTTTAGCACCAAGTTTTTGTATTGTCATTTTCGCTTCTCCTATCTGAAAAAAACAACATAAGAAGGCTTCAGTTCATTTCATGATGGTGAAAAACAAAACAACACTTTTTGTTTTAAATATAAAAACTGGAAATAGAAACCATGAGTGGATCAAAATCTCATTGGCAAAGTTAACTTGGAAAAAATTTCTTTTAATCATAGTTTCATTTAAACATCCTTCATTTCTTTTACCGGAAAGAGTACACACGTGTTTGCTTTGGAAGAACGTTTGCCACAAACTGGCATTTTGTTTCCAACCACTAAGTCGTGTGCTGTTGTTACCGAAGTGACATTTCTCTCTTTCTAATGAAATAGGGGACACAGACTTATTAAATTAAATATTTTCTTGGACTCATTTTATTTCTTGTGAACATAAAAATGGATTTTTTTTTTCCACCTAAAGCTTGTAGCTTTGTACCTGGATAAGAGGCCCACATTTGACTTGACAAAATTTGGCAAGACAGTTAAGTGGAGGCATAAAATTCAGAGCCATTGCACCACTTACTGTATTTGCTCATCTACTTAATTGGCTATAATTTACTTTTAAGTATTTGTTTTAATATCCACATTGCATTTTGTAATAGTAAAGTAAAATAGTAAGGAGGTTGAAGCTGCATGAGTCATTGTTTCCATTCTGTGCTATGGTTTTTGTTTTTCCCCTGGAAGCATTTGGAGAGAAGGCCTGGGCATGGGTTTCTGGAAATGGGCATTACCCAGGTTGTTGTGAGCAATTAGGTACAGAGAGGACCGTGTTGCTTTGGATTGTTCTAAAGCCATCTAGGAGCTCACTTGGGACCTGAAGACAAAACACATTTTCATTTGGAATCTATCAAGAGCTTAAAATTGAGAACTTAGATCTATGACCATTCCTTATTATTTTCCCATAAAATATCCAGACTTGGAAAGCTTTCATTTTGAATTTTGCAAGCTTATGTTAACATCTTCATTGGACATAGTTGCCTTAGGTACATAGCCCTTGATGTATGTGAGCCTTGTAGCTCTACTCACCTATATAATAAGAAAAAAGACACTTTGCCAGTCTACTTCCTTAAATGTACTCTTCAGCATTGACTAACCCAGGCTGAATAAGCCAATAAATCAATACAAATTTAATGTATCGTTTTCCTATAAATATTATATTGTAGTCATGGTATTAGTCTGTTTATTCAGTTTATCCCGAATTGGACTCTAGTTTGGTTTTTCTCACTAATATCCTATGGCCCCTCTAGGAAATTGAAAAGGCCTGGAAGATGGTGGACTCAGCCTATGATAAGGAGCAGAAGGCAAAGGAGACCATTATTGCACTGAAAGAGGAAATAGTGAACTTGACCAAGCTAGTTGAGCAAGGATCTGGACTGTCAATGGATCAGGATAGCAAGTAGGTCATAGCCTTCTTGAGAGATGTTGAACTTCTGCAGAGGCCTCTTTCTTCTACAGAGAGTCTGGGGTTTGCCAGCGTCATCTTGAATGTTTTCTGTGACACAAGGTTCTCCTTCCTTGTTGGATTCCTGGAGATTGCTCTCTGTCTGTGGCTGTTCCCCCCCCCCCCCCAATACTCCTGTTCTCCATTCTCAAGAACTTTGAATCTTTGGTTATATTAAACGTTTTGGTCTAGAAGATTCAGTACTCTGTCTCAAAATGAGTATAGATTTTGGGTTTATTTCTCTCCAACTTGTGCAGACTTCTGCCTCCCTTTCTGCTCACACTCCCAGCTCCTCCCATACACTCCCCATGTTTAGTTGTACCATCATCCTCCCTACCCCCTTAGGATCTAGGCCAGAAAACAGTTTTTCGCCACCCCATCATTCCTTCATCCCTTAAAGCTTAGTGCTATTGACTCAGACTTTGGTCTGGCCATCCTCCCTACCCCTAGTGCTACTGCCTTGGTTCCTGGCCCCTGGTCTCTGCTGGGTTTGGCAGTAGCCTCCTAACTTCTTTCTCTGCCCCTCTTTATTCCATCCTCTGCATTGCTTTTGAAATACATACCTACATGCAGCCATCACCAGCGTAAGCACCTTCAATAGCTACCCATGCCCAAGGGATAAAACCCAAACTCTTGAGCTTGTCTTTCAGAGCCCTTCATAGATCTGCCTCAACCAGCCTCTCCAGACTCATTTCAAGCCCTACCATTCTTGCTCATGCCTTCATACTTTTGCACATGCCGCTTTCTATGCCTTGAATGTCTTTTATTAACTCCTATACAAAATAAAACTCTATTCATCCTTCAAGATCCGTTTTCAAACACCATCTTAATTTCCACACCATCAGCATTTCTGTTCCAACACTGCCTCTTCAACTCTCTGCCCACCACCACCCCAGTGACCAGGGAGAAAGAGTCACTGTGTTCTCTATTTCCCTAAGACCATAATGGAACTAATCAGATTGTAAAATTATTGGTTGATGTGCTTCTTTACTCATTAGGCCATGGACTCCTTGAAGGAGGACACCTTCGTTGTTCCTTGATGAGTCTAGCACTGAGTGAAGCAATGAAGCAGGAAGGAGCATAGCCTTGGGCATTCTTAACAATATCTAAATGCTCTCTAGCCTGCTTATGCTTTTTAGATACATTTATCCAACTTTGATTGAAAGCACAGGTGTTGAGGGGGTAGAGAATAGGAAAATTAACAGAAGATGTGATCCCTGTTAGGAAGGACTCTCTCTTCTTTTTAAAGATGTCAAACACATTCAGAGCAATTAAGCAATGCTTAAGAGCAGTGTGAGGCAACTAATTCAGGTAGTACGAGTTCTGCCGAGAACTGAACAGGGAGAAAGCACCCAGCTCACAATTATTTCCTCAACCATGTGCCAAATGTAGCTGTTTGCCTTTGGAGTAACCTTAGAATTTAACGTTTTGTTTCAGAGAAAGAAGAGTTTGAGTGAGGTTTTGAAGGTTCCTTACTAAACATATACGTTATATCAAAGTTGTTGGTAAATAAACACTGTTAATTATGGTGTTTTGAGTAGCAGTTTGATGACAGTCAGCTGCAAGAGTCTGGAATGCAGGTTCTCTGTGTTCTCAGCCCTAAATTGTCCGCCTTGCTCTAGGCTGATTCTGTTGCTGAGGTCATTATCAGTTACGTTTTCCCACTCTTAAAACACCAACTCTTCAGAAAGTCAAGCCAAATAATGTCATGGCTTTTAAAATATGAGGTAACTGGTTCACAATTCAGTTTGGTGAATATTATCATACACCTTCTAAAACTTGGCATCATGAATGATTTTTGAAATCTTGTTTTTGGGAACACTTTATCTAGGGTGCATTCCTTTGGGAGAAATGAATCTCTTTGGGTGAATGGTTAGAATGCGTGCAGTGCATACTATTTACTTAGGACTTGATAGCTGTAACCATAGCCCTCCAATGGGTATAACAAGCCGCTGCCATTGAGTCGATTCTGCCTCATGCTGACCCCCATTGGGTTTCCAGGTGGTAAATCTTTGCAGAACAAGATTGCCTTGTCCTCCTTCTGTGGGGTAGCTGGTGGGTTTGAACCAGCAACCATCTGGTTAGCAGTCGAATGCCTTAGGCAATACAGTCAACAAATAATTTCCTAAGTTGACATCTCCCTAGGGTTAACTAAGGAGCTTTGGTGGTACAGTGCCTAAGGCATTTGACTGCTAACTAGAAGGTTGGTGGTTCAAACCCCCCAGCCACTCGGCAGAAGGAAGATAGGGCAATCTACTGCCATAAAGATTGACCACCTATGAGTGAAAATTGACTCAATGGCAGTGGGTTTGATTTTGTTTTTTTTTAGGGTTAATAACAAGTGCTGGCAATAGTACTATAGTCTTGTAACAAGTCCAAATATTACAGAGGTGTGGAAAGTAAGGAATTAAAATAATCCCCTCATCTCTTGCATCTTGTATTCCACTCCTCAGAGGTAACCAGTTCTCATTTTCATGTTTATTTTTTTGGACTTCTAGAAAAATGCCTATAAAACATACAGACACACACAAATAGCCACTTTTTTTTCTTAAAAAAAAAAAAAAAGGATATTATACATGCTGTTATTGGAGATTCTTCTCCACATGATCTCCAATAGCTCCTTAGGTCAGGGTATGCAGATCTTTGATGCCTGAATGGTGTTAATCATTGACCTGAAGTCTTTCCCATGAAATTGAGCTCACAGGGTGATCAGAGGAATTCTTGAGAAGATGGTCACTTAGATTCCTGTTTTCTTTTTTTTCAGTATCCGAGATTTACTGAAGTTCAAAGAAGAAGTAACAAAGGAACGAGACCAGCTCTTGACAGAAGTGGTGAAATTGAGAGAGTCTCTAGCTCAGAACAGTGAGCTGCAGCAGGAGACAGAGCGATCGAGAGAAGAGGCCGAGCAAACCATCAATCAGGTCTGCTTAGCCGCAGAGGCCAAGATGGAGGCATACTCCTTCCAGAAGGGCGTTCTGTCCTTCTCTGGGCTCCTTCTCCTCTCGGTTCTTTCTCAAACTTGCCTCTTTATGCCCAAGTGAAGCATCCACTGTTCTACTTATTTGTCTGGTTTGTTTCTTCAAGAGCACTTTGATTCTTAATTTCGCTGAGAGGTCACTAAGGCAGGCCTTCCCAGCTTAAAATTCTGGCCCAAAAAGGTATCCCTTGTGAAGACAAGGGGGCCCTGTATCTAGAGATGATGGAAGTAATTCCTTTGAACCTTCTCTCTTACAAGGAAGTAATCTAGCAGAATCCATCTGAATCCATTTGCAAAAAGCCAGATGTCAAATAGATAATGAATAAGGTTTAGTTGCCAAGAAAAACAAAACATGACCTCTTTGAGCACAGAATTTAAGAGAAAGGCTTTCCATAGAATTTGAACATCATGATAAAACTATAGTGCTCTGTTTGGCAATAGCCAGAACTCATGTGAAACACAATGTCATATTTAGGATAGCTGGCTACGTTTTACTTAGTCCTTGTTGACGGAGAATTGGATGAATTCTTTCTGTGTTTAATTTCCCTCTAATTTGGGCTTCCATATTTAACTGGAATTTCTATCATCTTTTGTGGACTTGTCCACCATTAGGGTGGACATTTGGTGTCAAAACCATGATACACAACATAGACTATTCTGTGGCCTTGAGAAGTTTGAACAAAGGTGTTCAAAGATGATTGTCCTATTGGGGAAATGCTACTCCCAAATGACTGCCCTTAAGATGAAAGACTTCAGGGAGGGAGAAGCTAGGCTGGCTGAGTCCTACAGGGTGAGGGGTTCATTTCTTCCTTCTCTCTCTTTTCTGTCACCATAGTTCCAACAAGAAATCCAACTACGCCAGAACGAAGCTTCGCGAGAGTCTCGCAAGAAGGAAAAACTAGAGAAAGAACTCAAGCAGATTCAGACGGACATGGACACCAAGCAATCGGAAATCAAGGCTCTGCAGCAGTACGTGCAGAAAAGCAAGGAGGAGCTCCAGAAACTGGAGCAGCAGCTGAAGGAGCAGAAGGTGCATTGGGTGTGGGCCTTACCGCGGTTCTCACGAGAACAAGAACGTTGCCTTTGTTCGTGCCCTTCTTAGCGTTTTGAATTTTCTCTGGAAAGCAGCAAACTCTCTTCACTACTGATGTTGGTAACACGATATCTAACACTGCATTTGGTCTTTGACTCTTATAGGTAGGTATGCCCTCCTTTTCTTCCAACTCCATCAGGTAAATATCTTTTTTTATTTTTAAAACATTTTGTTGATGCTCTGGTGGCGTAGTGCCTAAGGCATTTATTTGACTACTAACCAGAAGGCTGGCGGTTCAAACTCACCAGCCACTACCCAGAAGGAAGGACGGTTGGGCAATCTACTTCATTAATGAAACCGCCTTGGAATCCCAACGATGAGTTGCCATGAGTCAGAAACACTGGATGGCAGTGAGTTTGTTTTTGTTTTGAATAAACACACCAAACTAAAAAAAAGGAAGCAGACTGCCACTTTATTCCACAGAGCTGCTGGTGCGTTTCAGCTGCTGTCCTTTTGGTTAGTAGCAAGTGCTTTAACCACTGTACCAGCAAGGCTCCTAATATAGACACAGACAAGTATGTATCACAATGTAAAACTTGATGACTTCTCACCATTTGAATATGCCTTGGTAACATGCACCTTGCTCAAGAAACAGAATATTATCAGCACCCCAGAATCTCTTTGTGCCCCCTCCCAGTCATCTCCTGGAAAGGTCAACTCTTCCAGAATGCTAGATGCTCTGGTGGCCTAGTGCCTAAGGCATCTGACTGCTAACCAGAAGGCTGGTGATTCAAACCCACCAGCCACTTCTTGGAAGGAAGACTGGGCAATCTACTTCTGTAGAGATACTGCCTTGGAAACCCAAGGAGGGGTCAGCTGTGAGACGGATCTGACTCCGCCGGCAGTGAGCTTGGTTTTTGGTTATCCAGAATCCAGAGCCGAGATTACAGGATGTGCTTTTTTGTGTCTGACTTCTTTTGACCAACGTTGTGTTTGTGACATTCATTCCTGTTGTTGCCATGTGGTTATAGACTTGGACTGTCTAGTATGGTAGCCACCAGGGTCATGTGACTATGATGTTGTTGTGTGCCTTTGAGTCGGACCCGACTCATTGTGACCCTTCCTTGGGTTTCTGAGGCAGTATCACTATGGAAGTAGATTGCCCAACCTTCCTTCCGAGGAGTGGCTGGTGGGTTTGAACTGCCAGCCTTCTGGTTAGCAGTCAAGTGCCTTAAGCACTATGCTACCATGTGATGATATACACATTTAAATAAAAATGAAAAAAACTAAACTTACTGCTGTGGAGTAGGATCCACTCATAGTGCCCCCTCCTTGCATTTCTGAGGCAGTATCACTACGGAAGTAGATTGCCCAATCCTTCTTCTGAGGGGTGGCTGGTGGTTTTGAACCCCCAGCCTTCTGGTTAGCAGTCAAATGCCTTAGTTACTATGTCACCGCTAGCACCAACCATTTCAAGTACTCAGTAGCCACATTTGGCTTGTAGATATGGTGTTGGACAGTGTGGATACAGGCTTTCCATCATTGTAGAAGGTTCTATTGGACAGAGATCAACAGAACATTTGTTCTATATACATGAACCTTGGGACTGAGGGACTGGCATAGCTGAAATGGGGTGATTCAAGGCCTAAATTAAAACCCCACTCTGAATTAAGCTGAAATCTTAATTTCTACTGTTCTAAAGAGACAATTCAGCTTCTTTGTATAAGTTTAACTACTTGTAACACAAAGAGAGCAGGAGAAGATTTCTAGCTTGGATGAAGACTTGTTTGTTGAAGGTGTCTTTTAAGAATGTTTACTCAGTTTGGTCAATCTTATCCCCAGAGCCTAGGAAATAGGATTAGAATTATAAGGTTGAGATGGAGCCTACTGCTGTCTGGTCACTCTGTAACCAAGGTGAAGCAAACACCAATTAACCAGGCCTCAGTTATGATTTCCTGACTCCCCTAAATTACACTTATTCACTGAAATCTTTCCTTCCTTCCTATTGACTCTTTGTAAATCCCAAAAGCACAAGCTTGTTACCTTTAGATAAAGGGGCAGGCAGGCTGCAGCTGTGACAGAACGTTGACTCAATTCTCCTTGATAAAATGTCTTGTTAAACCCCAGGTTGTAAAAAAACCTCAGAATGTACCAGGTCTCAGGATGTAACCCATGTTAAAAACTTTAAGGCTATAGGTTAGCAAACCTTTGTAACTTTTGGCCATGCTTCCTCCTCCTCCCCTTTCCATGACCCCAAAGTACACGTCCACTGTTTGTTTCAACAGATGAAAACTGTGCGCTGTCTCCTTCTCTGCAGCTCGGAACACACTCTGCAGCCTCTAGTCTGGGTGCTTGTGTGTCTCATTCCATGAAATGCTTCATTTTTACATCCTTCAATAAGACTCTGCTTTTATTTCTGGCAGAGAGTAAGTCAGATGTTTCACTATGACAATTCTCATTGCTGTGTAGTATTTCATTGTATGAATATAATATGACTTACCTTGTGCAGGTTTATTTTTAAATTTCAAGTTAAGAAACATACTTAGTTTTTATGTATTTTTAAGAAGGTAGTTTTTAGAAAAACATTTCCACTATTATAGTGATTTAGGATAATACAAATAATAATTCTAGTCTTCTTAAAGAAGCCACCTGAAAAAAAAAAAAGTGATTTCTTGAAAATATTTCCTCTTAGAAAGTTTGTTTCCAAAGAATTAGCAAGTCATATAGTATTTTCCTACTTAAAAACTTCTTTGTCAGTTGCTTTATGAATTTTATTTAAGTAGATAACACACAAAGCACAGTCTCCAGAAGACATCTTTGAACATGAAATTGGGACTTTTCAGAGAATTTTCATGGTTAACAGTATGATAAAAGTATAATGCTTTGTTTAGCAATATCCAGGCATCATGGGAGACACAGTTTTGTTTTTAGGGTGGCTGGCTCCATTTTATTTAGTCTCTGTTGATGGAGAATTGGGTTTTGTATTTGACTGCTTACCAGAAGACTGGCAGTTCAAACCTACCAGCCACTCCTCAGAAGGAAGGTTGGGCAATCTACTTCCGTAGAGATACTGCCTCGGAAACCCAAGGAGGGGTCGCTGTGAGTCGGAATCCATTCGATGGCAGTAAGCTTCATCTCCTCTCCTCTCTCTCTCTCAGTCCTTTTGCTCCCCCAATAGGAATGACGCTCCTCCAATAGGAATGATGCTCCCCCCAAAAATATAATCCTCTTTTTATAAAACCGTGTCTGCTCAGGTTAGTCAGTGGGGGAAGAGGAAAATCTTCCTGACACTGCAATCACCCAAATACAAATCACTATGCCGCTGCTCCATGGCTTGGACTTAAGTTGGATTAAAGGGGAATTGGCTGTGTGTTGGTGTAGTCAACAGGCCTGTTCAAGAAAATGTTGTAGGCATGTTAATGCCGGATTTGCTTCTGAAGATATAGCTTCCCAGCCCCACAGCTGATAAAACCCATTTGAATCTCCAGCTCATTTGCAATGATTATAGCAATTGTTGCGGTTGTGAAGCCTGCCAAATGGCAAACAGGCATTAAAATATTTATCCACCACCTGTGAACAAGACTTCCCAAGGCTCTCAGAAAAAAAAAAAAAAAAATTAGGCTCTGTGTTATTCATCAGAAGGCATCGTTTTCCTCAGCCGTTTAACATTCATCATATTTGAGTGCATTAGTGCTTTCATCAGGGATAAAGAACAATTTCTACAAAGACAAAAAACTGTGGTTGCTGCCATCTTCCCGGGAGGTTTGTGGCGCCTCCTGTGTGTATATGCAGATACTGTAATCAGATTAAAAAGCGTTAACCAGCTCATTCCACATCTTTCAGATACTGAATGAGAGAGCTGCAAAGGAACTGGAGCAGTTTCAAATGAGAAACGCGAAACTTCAGCAAGAGAACGAACAGCACAGTTTGGTTTGTGAGCAGCTATCGCAGGAAAACCAGCAGAAGGCGTTGGAGCTCAAAGTAAACACAAAGTGACACCTCTGTCCCCTAGCACTCCCTCCCGCTTTACCTGTTAATGTAGGTTTGCCACTGCAGTTTGAGCCCTTGGGTTAGGTAACCCACACTACCCTTACTTAGCACCGTGATGCACCAGAGGCAAGCCTGCAGTCGTTACTTTATGGCCAGAAGCAAACAACTTCCATTCCTATTTGTGAAATGGCAAATCTGATTATTGATCATGTGCTTATGCAAATGCTTTCCAAAGCAGCTCAAACGTTTCCTTCTCTGATTGAGCCTTGAGAGTAACCACTTGCCCCAGAGCTAGAAACCAAAGAATTCAGATTATGTGTTACTTGTATGGAGAAGGTGGAATTGGGGGGACAATGAGATGTTGGTACGATTAGGTTCTTACTTCCAGGGCAGTGAAACCTCAAATTTCACTTCTGTCCACTGCAAATTTCAGGACAGGTTTCCCGTTCTTCTCCTTGCTTTACTGAAGAGTGCTTGCAAATGAAGTGTAGATAACAGTTTTACACTTGGATACATATCGTATGCCTACACATCTAATAGAGTAGCTTTATGTTTATCTCTTTAATACTGAAAAATCCATATTCCCTACTCTGTTTATGTTAGAATATGGTGGCGTAGTGCCTAAGGCATTTGACTGCTAACCAGAAGGCCAGTGCTTCAAACCCACCAGCCACTCTTTGGAAGGAAGGCTGGGCAATCTACTTCCGTAGTGATACCACCTCGGAATCCCAAGGAGGGGTTGCTAAGAGTCGGTTCCAACTTGATGACAGTGTGTTTGGTTTTTTCGGTTTTGTCAAGAAAAATATATAGATTTAAGTAATGAATAATACTTTATTTTTTGTATTGTATCACAGGCACTTTTGAATATCTGATGAAAGAACACACACCCACACACCCACACACACACCCAGCTCACATCTTGTTTTGCATGCAGTCTCTGGTTTCTGGGATTTTTTCTGAAGTCTAACTATAGCATCTAGATTAATAACTCCTGAATTACAACATCTTAGAATCAAAAGGGGCCTTAAAGTCAACTAATTTGGACCCTATGGACTCTGAGGCTAATGAAGTCCTTTGACTTGAAACCATTCTTTCATGAGAATGCTGTAAGTTGAAGTAGAGATGAAATGACCACTTGGGGGAAAATAATATATTAGCGCCTGTTGTTGTTATGTGCTGTTGAGTTGGACCCGACTCATAGCGACCTCTCCTTGGGTTTCCGAGGCACTACGCTACCAGAGCTCCTATATTACCTCCTTGTTGTTGTTGTTATGTGCCGTCAAGTCAAACCCGACTCATAGCGACCCCTCCTTGGGTTTCCGAGGCAGTATCACTACGGAAGTAGGATTGCCCAACCTTCCTTCCGAGGAGTGGCTGGTGGGTTTGAACCGCCAGCCGTCTGGTTAGCAGGGAAGTGTCTTAGCCACTATGCTACCAGAGCTCCAATATTAGCTCCTAAGGTAAATTAATTCTTTCCTCTGATTACATGAATGGAGGACCTTGAAAGATGGGATATTTTTGTTACCAGATCTAGAACCTATGGGGTTCTGCTTCTAGCAATAATTCAAGGATAGCAGACACAGCTAACTTTAGTCTTTTCATTTCCCAAAGCTGGAATAATTGCTAACTTTTCCAGAAGACTCCCTGGCTGCCTTTCTGGTTATTTCTAAGAATGACAAAGTTTTTAAAAAGTGAATTTAACTTAGATTTTAAAGGTCCATAAATCTTGAAGTCCGTAGATAAGAATCCTGTGCTTTTCTTTGTTAGAATTATTTTTTGGTTCATTTTTTGCCATTAGGCAGAATTGTCCATTAATATTGCTTCATCCACCTGTCTATGTATACAGCCATAGATGAGTATCCTCGGGGGAAAGAGAACCCCTTCTCTAGTGTAGGAAGTTGTACTACATGGCCCTGTGGGTCTGAGAGAGTACTTGGGTGTTTTGCAGCACTTTAATAACCTTCTGAGAAACATTACTTTGTGAGTCTATGAAAATGATTAGTCAAATATAATGTAGGTATACAAAATTGATATATTTATGACACACATCTTAACATTTTTCCCTTGTTTGATTTAGCAATTAGATTGTACTTTGAGACATCAGGCCTGATCACTTTTTTTCATTATATTTAGCTTATTTTGCTATGCATTTTATTCAGAGGATAGAATTTTCCAGTCTCTTCCCAAATCAAACAGTGTGTGCTTTCATTTAATCCCACAGGGCAACTTTACACAGACTTAAGAAGGATTTTCTTTATTGGTTCTGAGTTTACCGTTGTCTAGTCAGCTGACCCTTTATTGACTGAGTATCCCTGGTAATTCTGTCTCACTAATTACAGGCCAAAGAGGACGAAGTCCATCAGATGCGCATTGACATCGGGAAGCTCAATAAAATAAGAGAACAAATCCATAAGAAATTACACCAGATTGAAGATCAAAAGGCTGAAGTGGAACAGCACAAGGAGACCCTAAAAAATCAGATTTTGGGATTAGAGAGAGGTAGACCAAGAACCATTTTGGTCTTTGTTTTATTCATTTATAAACATTTAATTGGTGACCAATGTCAGCTGGCAACCCAGGGTTCCATGTGCACCGTCACAAACTGTGCCAAAGGAAATCAGCAAAATAAACAACATTCCAATACAAGGGGGCATCATTTTGAATACCTGGTTTGACATCTTTAAAAACTCTTCAATAGGTGTATTGGCACAATGTAAATCCAGCTCAAAGTATTATCAGTAGTTGTCATGAAGTAATACCACTTATATAGCACTCTCAAGTGTGGGGTATACATGACCTTCTGTGTTAGTTCAGTTTCTCCACAGAAAATGAGGGGATAAATGAAATGTTCCCAACAGTAGTATTTGGGACAATGGTGGTGTACCAAGAATCGGTGGGATACATATAAATGGCTTCTAACTTTATTTCTCCATTAAGTACTTTACCATATGGTGAACCCCTATTTTACCCAGCTTAACATTGACCTGTGGGGGAAAATTTAAATGTTATTAAAAAACAAAAACACAAACTCACTGCCATGGAGTCGGATCCAACTTATAACGACCCCTCCTTGGGTTTCCCAGGTGGTATCTCTATGGAAGTAGATTATCCAGTCTTTCTCTGAAGAGTGGCTGGTGGGTTTGAACCACCAGCCTTCTGGTTAGCAGTCAAATGCTTTAGGCACTACACTACCAGAGCTCCCTTAAATGTCATAGGAGGCCATATAGTTCAACAGAGTTGTTAATGACATAAACTTTGGAGTCAGATCTGGTGGGGACCAGATTCTACCTCTATGCTGATGGTTGTTGGGGAATGTCATGAGATAGTACACATAAAGCACTTGTTTTATGTGCCTAGTACATAGTAGATGCTTACTAAATGTCACCTTTTATTATCCAGTGGTATTACTCTTTTCTGAATAAGAGTATACAGCAGAATATGCTATACCAGTCAAATTTGGTGTGGCAAAAGCAGTTCTGGACTTGGTGACCAAGAATCTGGGTATGAATTCTGACTCCATCAGTGTGAGACAGGAATACCTGTCTTGCTGACCTCATGCCAGCTGCAGTGAGTTTGTAAATCAGAGTGAGATAACATGCATAAAAGCATGTCCTCAGGCTTTCAGCTCACCAGACATCAGGTAGCATCTAAATCTCTAGATAGGATCATTACAACTATTTGCCTTTGAGAAGTGTTTATACTTAGCACTTGTGGCTTATCTTGGCAATTTCTCCATTCATCCATTCATTCAATCGAGTGCATACTATGTGCAGGCGCTGTGCTAGGCGCTGGGTGTATGGAGTTCTCTGCCTTCAGGGTGCTTCCAATCTAGATGAGTTTACAATCTAATGTTTCCTTTGACAGATATGACGACAACAGGAAATATTAGAGCACGTTTTATAACTGTCTGAGTGACTATCAAAACATTCCCATATTGAAATGTCTGTACTTTTGCTTCAATAGTTTTAAGGTTTGAAAAAAATCTCTCACTTTTTTTAAACCATTCAGTGTTGACCCCAATTCTTGATGCTATAGAAGTTGTCATGTTCTCTTTTCCTGTTATTTTGTAGATGTCATCAGCATTCTTGTTTTTTGTTAGGGACCTCTTCCTTTTCATGTACCTGATCAAAGAGTGGCATTTGGCATAATGGTTGGGACATGGGTCCTCCATATAATAGGATTTTCTCTCACAAAATCCAAGAAAATGAACTGAAACACTACTAGAACTAATACGAGTTCAGTAGAGTGGCAGGTTATAAAATAAATATATAGATGTCATAGCTTTCGTTTGTGCAAAGAATCAGTTGGACCATAAGATGAAAAAACCCCTTTTACAATAGCAACCAAAGTAATAAAATATCTATGAATAAAATTACCAAGACATCTATAGGACCAAGATATAAAAAACATACAGAATGCTTGGAGGGTGATATGGAAGACTTGGAAAGTGCAGAGCTATACCAAGTTGTTAGATGAGAAAAATGCCATGTGACAAAGATATAAATTCTATCTAAATTATAAATTCTGTCTAAATTGATTCATGCATTTAATATTTCCAATAAACATTTGGTGAGTTTTGTTGTTAGAACTTGAAATGTGATTCTAGAGTTCCTTCAGAAGAACAAAAGTGATGTAGTTGTTGTTGTTGTTAGGTGCCGTCGAGTCGTTTCCGACTCCTAGCAATCCCATGCACAGCAGAACAAAATACTGCCTGATCCCGCACCAGCTCCACGATCCCTGCTATACTTGAGCCCATCTTCGTAGCCACCATGTCAATTCATCTTGTTGAAGGCCTCCGCCTCTTTCGTTGACCCTCCATCCTACCAAGCATGACATCCTTCTCCAAGGAATGGTCCCTTCTGACAACATGACCAAAATAGGTGAGACAAAGTCTGGCCATTCTCGCTTCCAAGGATCAACTCTTTTTCGGTCTTCCTTATTCATTGTCCAGCTCTCACATGCATACCAGGCGATTGGAAATATCATGGCTTGTGTCAGGCACACCTTAGTCCTCAAGGAGACATCCTTGCTCCTCAACACTTGAAAGAGTTCCTTTGCTGTTGACTTTCCCAATGCTACACATCATCTAATGTCCTGCCTGCTGCTTCCATTGACATCGATTGTAGAACCAAGAAACGTGAACTCTTTGACAACCTCAGTCTTCTCTCCATTTATTGTGATGCTGCTCATTGGTCCAGTTGTGAGGATTTTTATTTTCTTTGTACTGAGACGTAATCCATACTGCAGACTGTATTCTTCAACCTTCATCAGTAAGTGCCTCAAGTCATCCTCACTTTCAGCAAGCAAAGTTGTATCGTCTGCGTATTTCAGGTTGTTAATGATTCTTCCTCCAATCCTGATGCCACGTTTTTCTTCATATAGTCCAGCTTCTCAGATTATTTGCTCAGCATATAGATTGAATAAGTATGGGGAAAGGATACAACCCTGATGCACTCCCTTCCTGATTTTAAACCATGCAGTGTTCACTTGTTCCATTCAAACGACAGCTTCCTGGTCATGGTACAGGTTCCTCATGAGTACAATCAAGTGCTCGGGAATTCCCATTCTTCTCAATGTTATCCATAATTTGTTATGATACACACAATCAAATGCCTTTGCATAGTCAATAAAACACAAGTAGACATCTTTCTGGTATTCTTTGCCTTGAGCCAAGATCCATCTGACAACAACTATGATATCCCTTGTTCCACATCCTCTTCTGAATCCAGCTTGCACCTCTGGAAGTTCTCTGTCAATATACTGCTGCAAACGTTTCTGAATTATCTTCAGTAAGATCTTACTTGCGTGCGATATTAATGATATTGTTCTATAATTTCCCCAATCTGTGGGATCACCTTTCTTTGGAATGGGCACAAATATGGATCTCTTCCAGTCAGTTGGCCAGGTAGCTGTCTTCCAAATCTCTTGGCATAACCAAGTGAGTGCCTCCAATGAGGCATCCGTTTGTTGAAATATCTCAATGGGTATTCTGTCAATTCCTGGAGCCTTGTTCTTCGCCAATTCTTTCATTGCAGCTTTGACATCACAAAAGTGATAATATCACAAAAGTGATAATAGCTATAAAATGTCTAGAAAAGGCAGAGTGGTGATGGAAGCATTTGCCTCAACAGGTTTGCGTGTGTTCTAAACCGTCAATAACAAATAGTGTGGCCGTGATGTCCAAGTGACTGAGCAGGGGAGGAGAATGGGAAGCTACAAAAACCCCAAGATTATTACCTAAGATAAAGGTGTCATCTCACACCAGTGAGAAGTATGGATAATTAAAAAATTATGTTATGATAGTGAACTACTTCTTTTGGAGAAAAAAGATCCCTATTTCACTCTTTTCACCAGAATATATTTCAATATATGAAAGAGTTAAATTTTAAAATAAAACTGCAAAATAGTAGGATAAAATAGAAAGTTAACACCAAAGGTAGAAGCATCAAAGCCAAGATTCAAAGATGCAGTGAAAGAAAAGTCTAATTTTTCTATGCAACAAAACACTCTCTAAAGAAAGACGAATTGACTAAATTATTTCAGTTAAAGGGTAAGTATCTTTATGTGCAAAAGAGCTCTGGTAGCACAGTGCCTAAGGCATCTGACTGCTAACGGAAGGTTGGTGGTTCAACCCCACTAGCCACTCTGTGGAAGCAAGACTGGGCAATCTACTTCCATAAAGATTTACTGCCTCGGAAACCCAATGACAGTCTCTATGAGTTGGAATTGACTCAATGGCAGTGGGTATCTTTATGTGTAAAGAGCTCTTACAAATCTACGAAAAGGATAAATAGTTCATGAGAAAAATGTGTAAAGGACATGTGTAGGCAGTTTTAAAAACAGAAATACTAATGGTCATGCCACAGAAAAAGTATTCAACTTCACTAATAAACCAAACCAAACTCACTGCCGTCAAGTCAGATCCGACTCATAGCCACCCCTCCTTGGGTTTCTGAGGCAGTATCTCTACAGAAGTAGACTGCCCAGTTGTCCTTCTGAGGAGTGGCTGGCAGGTTTGAACTGCGAGCCTTCTGGTTAGCAATCAAATACCTTAGGCACTACGATAACACCAGGGAGGTACACAGTCCTTGGAACAGTCAACCACATGAAATCCAAAGGGCAGCATTTAGCCAGGGATACAGCTCAGAAGGCAGGAAAGGATAGGACAGAAGGACGAATGGAAACGGGGAAACGGAGGAAGTAGGAGGAGTGCGGTTACATTGTGGGGACCGCAATCAGTGGCACGGAACAAAAGGTGCATGAATCGTTGAATGGAAAACCAATTTCTGTAAACTTTTGCCCAAATCACAATACAAAGTTTGTATCTATGTGTATGTGTATACACACACATATACACACATATATACATACGTGTGTGTGTGTGTGTGTGTG